GGTTTCGCTTCATCTTGCCTGCTCGCTTGAAAGAAACATAATAAATGCTTTTGTTATTTCTGTGATACAAACTACTACAATTTCCAGCCTCATTTTCGTTTTTCATATCAGACCATCTGGGGCAAAACCTAAGATATATTTAAGTCTTGTTGACCCTTAATCGGATCCGAGTGTGCGTTTCAATTAAGTCAGCAGTTGAATGAGCTCCAGTTGTTTCATAGTCTTTTTCGTCTAGCCGATTCTTCACACTGATTGCTAGTTATTGTTTGCAACAAATTTCAAAACATCCCAACACATTCTCAAAACATGTCAAACAATGTTTCGTTCATGATTGGTTGATGTCTGTAGCCCGAAGAATAACTAATGGCGCTCGAAAATCTTACTAAAAGACTCTGGGGGCCCTAGCATTCACTCAAACCTTGGTCTCTTACCAGCTCTGCAAACTCAGTTATGGATTTACAAACCTTATTACACAACCTACATGACGAAGTATCCTGTTCTGTGTGTATGAGCCCGTTCACTGATCCAAAAATATTGCCCTGCTTTCATACATTTTGCCTTCATTGTTTGAACGAGCTTCAGCGAACAAGTGGAAAACATGGCGAGATTACATGCCCAGAATGTCGTAGAAAGTTTCAAGTTCCCGGGAGCGGTTATCCTAAAGACTTGCCGGCCAACTTTCGAATGAACAGTTTGTTGGATGTAATAGCTATTCAAAAATGTAACGTCGCTGGAGTGAAGTGTGGAAACTGCGACAAAACAAGCGTCCAAAGTTTCTATTGCTTTAAATATTGTGCCTTTTGGTGCGACGATTGCATTGCAGCTCATAACATTATCCGAGACAATAAAGACCACCGAGTGCTAGCGATTAAAGATTTTCAAGATCAAGACATTGAAGACGTGTTAAAAAGGCCGGTATTTTGCCAAATAGAACATCACGAAAGCGAAGAGCTGAAGTTCTTTTGTAAAAACTGTGAAAACGCCATTTGCAATACTTGTGCTATAACACTCCACGAAGGTCACGCTAAGTTGCTTCTCCAGAATGTTGCTAATGAACGAAAGTCAAGTCTACAGTCCGCGATGGAAACTCAGAAAGAAAAGGCTCTTCAGATGAGAAATACGATCACCAGACTACAAAGTGAGTGCAATGAAATTCAAGAACAGGTTGCTTGCGTGAAGAAAAGCGCGCAGAGTTTTATTGACAATTTAATGAAAGTCTTTGAAGCGAAGAAACAGGAACTGTTTAAACAGGTGGAAGACAAAGCTCAAGAGGTGATCGAGCGTCTGGTAGCACAACAGTCTGAGGTCGAATACAAATTACGGCGGATTGAGACATCAATTGAAGAAACGGGAAGATTCTTAAAGCGAAGCACAAATGCTGAGATTGTGCAGTTTAACACAGTATTCCAGGGGGAAGTCACTGGCGAGGCAGAACAAGTCGACTGTGACCGTAAGGATCTTGGCCAGTTTGTGTTCTTTCCAAACAAATCATTGATAGCTAAAGCAAACAGTGAAGGTGTTGGTTCTTTGAAGAAAATCATCAGCCAGACTAAATCGAGAAACTCAAAAGCGGAGGGAAAAGGAATCACTGACGTGACTGTTGGACTTGAAGCGCAGTTTATTTTAACAACACGAAATGCTGAGAATGAACAATGTTACCAACAGTGTGATATCGTTACAGCAGAAATCAGGAATGGTGACAACCGTGAATGCGCCACTGAAGCACAAGTCCAAGATAACAAAGATGGCAGCTACAATATCAGCTACTTTGCCAAAGAAGCAGGAACATGCCAGACATCAGTGATGGTGAATGGAGGACATGTTAGTGGCAGTCCATTCACTGTTCAAGTCAAACCCAGACAATACAAACCTGTGTTGTCATTTGGAGGAGAAGGCTCATCTGCTGGAATGTTTGGTGGACCTTGGGGTGTGGCGGTGAATGAACATAATGAAATTGCTGTAACTGAATATAATAACAACCGTGTCCAGATATTTAGTGGTGATGAAACTTACTTAAGATCTTTTGGCAGTGAGGCTGATCAAGAGGGAGAGTTTAATTACCCTTCGGGTATAGCTTATTTAAATAATGGGAACATTGTAGTAGCTGATAGTGGTAACAACAGACTGCAAATATTCACTGAGCAGGGGAAGTACCTTACCCAAATTGGCAGTAAAGGCAATCTTGATCATCAGTTTAATTATCCAAGGGGTTTATCTGTAGACAGTGATGGTAATATTATTGTTGCTGATTCGAATAACATACTAATTAAGATCTTCACACCAAGCGGCCAGTTTCTTAGAAAGTTTGGTGGAGAAGATTTATTAGTTGATCCCTGTCACTGTATTCAGAAGGATCAGTATTTTATAGTATCTGACTGGAGTGATCACTGTATCAAAGTGTTTAATGCAGACGGTGATTTTCTGTATAAATTGGGGAATAAAGGGGGAGGGGATAGGGAATTCATTGGCCTCATTGCTTGTCTGTTGACAAAGCAGGACACCTGATGGTCTGTGATTATGGAAATAACAGAGTTCAGGTGTTGGAATTAAATGGAAAGTTCATAACAAAGTTTAAACTAATGAGTGGGAGATCACCAACCTCTACCGCAGTTCTCTCTGATGGTACTATAGTAGTGTCTGATCATAGGAACGATTGCATTCAGATAATTAAATAAATACATTTGATTCAAAATTAATAAAATAGCATAGGATAGGTTGGTTATTCAACTCCCTGCAATTGAAAAAAATATTTGGTAAATTTTATTATGTTTTTTTCTGCATGGCGTTTCCTTTGTAACAACCTTTTGCAATGGGTGCCGGTAATTCTGGTCGTGTCCTTTCCGGAAGTGCTCAAGGTTTTTAGGCTGTGAATCGAGCTACTGTAGTTTTAATCTTCTTTGAGCAAGTTTGTAAATATCGATGTTACCTGATGTTGGTACATACCTTACTTCACTCTATTTTTTATCGGTAATAAAACCCTCCATACGATAATTATTTACACACTTGACATGTTCTTCGTGATATTATTTACTAGTTTATGAGAGATAGAATGTGAGAAGTCGTCGCGAGAGGTCAATTATTTTTCTCGAAAGTCCCGATAACTTTTCGGGCCCGAAATCAAATATTCAAATCAAAATATAAAGAATAAGAGCGCGGGTCCTGGGTAGCAAACTACTCCATTTTGTTTCACTAACTGGTAGTTTTATCATGCTAGATGCAAAACTTTTGAAACCTCGATCTTTAATATAAACGGAGACAGCTTACCGGGCCCGTTAATTATCGGGACTTTCGAGAAACGGGCCCCTGGTGTCTGTATAACAACCTTTCCTGGATTTCCGAATTTGTTTATTCAACATATATAGTAGTTAACTTTTTTATCTCAGGGAAATTTTGTTTCTCTTTTGTTTTTGGGTATGCTAATGTATGCTGATAAAGTTGAAACAAAAGAAAAAGAAAAATTACCTGAGATAAAAAAATAACTACAACATATACAAATTGATTTTCACTTGACACCTGTATGCGGAACATGCTGAATCTGATTCTTGCGAGGCTACTGATGATAGCGTTACTAACCCTCCGTTTAGGGATAAGGCGAGTAAACAAATGAGGGAGGGAAGCCAAAGGAAAACGGAAGACTTGGCCTGACGAACATCCTTTCAACTAAGGAGAGTTTTAAAACACAACTGTCGAGCGTGGATGCACATCCATAGGACCTCGGGATTATTGAGTCTACCTTATGGCTGATTCAACAATAAAAAACGAGTCAAGTATTTCATGAAGGATTAAATGCATTTTTCTCTCAGCAGTAGCTCATCTTATCTTAGTTTGCGATTAGGTTCGTGTGTTGGGAGTTTGTGAGGGATATCTCTCGTGGCCTTTTATTCGAGGAATATCTTAGCTACATGTTGGAGTTACAACCAGGAGTTGGGGGAGGGGGCGTGGGGGTGGCGGTGGCGGTGGTGGTAGATACTGCTCGCGCAAAACTTTGCTTCTACGTCGCTGACTCAAAAGTCTATTATCATACTGTTATCAATTCTTCATAAGGAAATATTTTCAACCCCTTCTGACAAATGCGCGCTAAACGTTCTACCGCTTCGTAGTTCCTGGGAAACACTGTTCCTGAGCATGTCTCCAATCCCTCCAAGAAAGTAGCTGTAGCAGCAACAGCGCTTGATTCATTACTATTCACGCCTCTAGGACCACTTCAGACGCCGTAAAAAAGGCTGCCATCTTTTTGGCGTTAAAGTACAGAATTTGATTTGAGGTTGACGTTAGTCGTCAACCTTTTACGTCCAACGCTAGGTTTTATGCAGCTCAGGCCCCTGACGTTCTTCAAGAAACCAAAAGAAGTGAACACAATTCCCCCCTTAGAGGCACTTTGCTGGCCACGTGATAGACTGTCACAAAAGACGTCATTATAATAGGTTGCGCAGTAGGTGACATCTAGAGTGTATGCAGGCTATCTAGAGTGCGCGAAAGCTTTTCGGTGAAACCCTCGAGGAAAAATCAGGCCGCAGGGATCTGAACTTAACCGTTTTCCCCGTTTTTCTGGCAGCTCTGCCTTCAACACAAAAGCGCTTTTGCAAAAAAACTCGCACATGCACAATAATGAAAAAGGATTTCTAGCGGCGAATGGTGGCACACCTTGACATCCCTCACGATAAAACAACAACTTAAACGTTTAATCATACACGAAGCGTCCCTGAATGATTCACAAGTGCCGCACAAAATGACCATCACATGTATCGATTAGAATTACAGCGAAAGAAATCGATTAACGCGAGGAAAAACCTTAACAAAACGGGTTAACAATACACTTGAGAATATTTATATCCCATGCACATGCTCGAAATAACAAAGGGAAATCCCGCTTAAGATCCCGCTAGCACCGGAAGACCAGTAGTTACAGGTCATGTTCGTTCACGAACATTGCAATTAAATAATTTATTGTTGAACTAGTCTTTATTCTATTGAACCAGTCCCAGTGGAATAAATTTAATTCATGTCACTACAGTTCCCCTATAAAGGACAACACCGACTTTCGAGTCGATCAAAGCCGGCCAAACGTGATACTTTATTTCGAGAGACGTCATGTCACACGTCATGAACCGTCCGTGAAGTTTCTCTGAGAACTCTGTGGCTTCGTAATTAATGCTCATTGGTGGAACTTGGACTGCCAGCATCCATGACAAGCGAACGCACTCATCCATGTATTCTTTTAACTTCACACAGTTTTGTAATTCTGGAAAATCGTACAAGGTGCTCCATAACTGTTTGCTTACATCCTTTAAAGCCAAAAAGAAAAGAAATGTTAAAAACCTCCTTATGAAGTAAAATAAAATACAAAATAAAATACATAAAATACAACTTGTCTAAGTCAAACAAAATGTATAGATTGAGTTTATATCTCCAAGATTTCCCTCATTATTGCTTGGCGTTGTCTCCGTCGACATTGTTTTAAATACCACAAAACAATCTACACCTTAAAATCGAGTTTGAATAATCAATTGCTTCCTTAAGGATGCTTCCACAGCTATTTGGAAAGGATTTATTATTTGCGTTCATCCACAACAAATTAACCAAAATAATCATCCACTTTTTCGGCGTTCATTAAAATATTCACTTAAGTTCTCAACGCACCTGTTTGACACTGTCAATTTTAAATCGTGCGCCCGTTATCCTTAAATAGTCGGCAATGCGGTCTTGCATTTCCTGCGCGTTCGCTGCTATCTTGTCGTCATCCGGGATATCTAGGATTTACTTGAGCTTAGTTTGCTTTTCTGACAGTGAGTGTTGTACCTTGCGGTATGCCACCTACCGGAATGCACACAAACACTTTTAACATCACTGGTTCGAGTTAAAGGCGTTGTTTCTAAAGAGACCCCACGGAGTATGATGGGATACATGCTCTTACCCATGGAGATTGAGGAATAGTTCTGTGCATGAGGAAGGCCACGGCGACCTCTACTACGGCGGCCGAAAGTAAAAAAGCCCAAAAATGAAGCAGTGCGCATGCATGGAAATAACCTTTCGCAGTAGCGCCAAAGCCTATCATGTGAAGACCTGTCTTGTGGCGTAGTCGCTGCAACGTGATTCTAAACTGAGTCAACTTTTCTCCTATTTCTTTTAACAATCACTGGTTTTAAGACGTATCATAGATTGTTTTTCACTTTAGAAAAGAAATAATTTGACACTTTTAGTTTTCCAGGAATTACGTCTTCCCTGCGTTTTCTCTTTTTAATTTTTTTATCCTCAACGGAAGTCAAATGCTGTGTACACTCCTCGTCACGGTTAATCTTTGATCGTAACAGAGAAATATGTTATCTCTTGCTTCTCTAAAGGAGGTCAATTCGACTTACTAACAGCGAAAGTAAGTTAGCGGGAAACGCCGCATGAAATTTGGTCGGCTATAGCCTGCGTAGCAAGCGATTTCGTGAAGTTTCGGAGCAAAGAAAGACCAAGGAACGACTACTAACGGGATTTTCGGTTTTGGCCAAGCAAAAAATGGAACGAACTTCGAAACCGCACGGAAACGCTTGCAACGCAGGCTAACGTACTCGCCCCTGGACTCTGCATCCACGACCACCGTAGTATAGGTCACGTGGTCACCGTAGCGTTTTTTTTTTAATTCTCAAATGTCTCTTGGCCGACCGAGAAGCGTCTATGACTCTTAGCTGCGGTACGCTAATCATTTGCCATACCAATCGCTCGTCCTCACAAAAAGTTGTTTATTCCCTGATAAAATTTTCCCAAGCAGACTCTCTAGGGGTTCTCATCGGCCTTTTTACTCATTTTAAGTAGATTATAACAACTTTTTTGAACGACTCACAACTGTAAATGCAAATGAAGATTATGGCACTTACCACCAAAACTGAGAACAATATTTTGTTTTTGATGTCTCCACTGTCGTCCACTTTATCTAGATTCCAACTCAT